CCGTACCGTACGGCCAGTGCGTGCCAAAGTCTGCCGTAGTCAAAGGGTTAATACAGTTTTTCGGGTGAGGGAGCCGAATACCGGAAGAAACGAAGAACGACGACCTCCTCCGAACGAACGAGTGTCGCGAGGACGCAGCCACGTAGAGAAGCGTACTCACGAATTTTGATCATCGAATGGCCCGCGACGAGAATCGTGAAATGCAATTTATAATATACGTAGAAAAGGGTACGAGGACATTAATATATCGGATAGGCTTCTCTAAAATACTTTGACAAAGCGGATTCGACACCGATAGTGGGTGAATTATTTGTACGAGTAATTTACAATTAACCATCGCTCCCTCGAGCCATTGTAGCTTAAAATAATGAACATTTGTTTTATCCTTGTCCGTATTTTCTGTTTTCCCTCAACGCTAGTTCGGATGATCCCGCGTACCCACCGATTTTCCGATTCTGATCTCCGTCACCTGCTGCTCGTTTCGCACCCGATCTACGCCTATCGTTCTACCGTTAACGTCCATAGCCGACCAATTTTAGCTACGATTCTACGAGCGAGCCGCGAACTTGCTCGCGTCCCGTTTTCCTCTATCCGTTTTCGACCAGCGAGAACGAGATCCCACGTTCCGTTCAATATCCGTTTCCGGTTGCGAAATAAACAACGCTCGGACGAGCAAAGTGTCCCGGCACGCGTGTCCACCCCCCCCCCCGTTTTCCGATTAGAATCATTCGGCATCGCGGGCGCGGATGTAAACGTAGAAAAATAACGATCGCGCGATCCGCGTCAGCACACACACACGCACGCACGCACGCGCATAATACACATTTTTAGTTCACCNTATACACGCGTCGCCTGTCTCGCTAAAAGCGCCACAATAAAATTTAAGGTGAGATAACGTCTTGGTGAGCGAGAGTCACCGCTCGAGTGCAAAGGGTTAATAATAAATTTTAACTGAATTTTGGATGATCAACAATGATAAAAGTTATTATTATTACGGTAAAAGAAACCATTATTAAATTTGTATAAATAAACACAATTAAAATTAAAAATTATATATTGCATGAAGTCTGCGATTATTATAGAAATCTAAATTAAATAAAAATTGATAAAAAAATAGTGTAAGATTATTTAATTATTATCGTTATTTTTATTTCACTGAAGCAGAGGAATTTTATTCTTCTAAAAAATGTGTCACGATTTACTTACTAAAATCTTGACATTTAACGCATTCAAACTTGTTGTGATTTGTACTAATAAATGAAAATTGAGAAGGCAGATGAACCGAAAATTGCTTCACGATCGTTCCTAGACTGAAGCATCAACAGTGAACACGTGTTCGCGTGTTAATTTTGAAATTTCGACCATAGAACTTGCGATTTAGGCGCAGTTTTAGGCGTCGAACGGCGTCCAGTCGATGCCTGGAGGGTCGCTGGTCAGGCCGAAGATAAATCGTTCATTCGTGTGAGTACCTACGTGTATAATATACGTCCGTTCGCTCGCTGCACTTTGTACAGGCGAGAAAGCGAACCCGTGCGTTGCCGTTCGTGTCGCAGATTCAGATTCTTCGTTCATCTCCGTGAACCGTTTTTTTACTTGTTATATTTGTTCTATTATTTCAACTCGCGTTCTTAAGAGTTAAACTTGGCGGTGTGACGTACTACGTACATTGCGCGAGAACGATGCGATTGAGGAGGTCGTTGACCCGTGCCAGAATCGAGTGCCTAACGAGAGTTCCACGGTTCGGTAAAACAAACCGATTCACTGGACGCGAACCGGGGAAATTGATTGATGAAAATCCGTTCTGCTGGTCCGATCCAAACCGGAACCCAGGGAGAGACCGAGAGAGCGCAGATATTTAGATAGAAAAAGACAGTAGACTCTGGTGGCTCGAGAATTGCAAATTAATAAGGACGAGTTTCCGATTTAGATCAGGTGAACCTGATCACGTCGATCATCGAGGGCACACGATCCTCCACGGGGTTTCTTAAGCACGTAAACCCGTTCGAAATCGACCTGGGAACGATTGCCTTCTCTCGACGAAGCCTCGATCGCGTTCCTTTGTCGAAGCTTCTTCTCAACGAAAGTGACCGTGTGGCTGCTTCGTTGGTCGTCGTTAATCGTTATTGTCCTTGGACAATCGTGCTGCTTCTCGAATCGCGAAAAACCAAATACCTTTTCTTTGCTACGTTCCCTTCGTACAGATATAATTCGTATCCGATTATTCAACGAAAGCTATACGCTAAACATCTGGAACAACGAATAACAAATAATATAATAGTCATTTGAACCGTTAACAATTTGTCGGCGAAAAACTTAACGTTTCGTTTTGGCATTTTTTTTTTATACGTCGACTTTATATGTGTGTAAGTATGCAAGCACGTGGAGCGGCACGACCACTTTTAGAATTTAGATCGCAACAACAACGAAATTAAAGTTGATCCGTATGTACAATTATGACAACGTAAATATCTTCGAATCTGTGAATTTTGTCACAACTGATGGAAACTCACGAGCCAAGAACAGTCGTGTCCGGTTCCACGTCGTTCAACCGAGTTATTATAAATCTTCCTCTTCTTTCTTTCTTTCTTTCTTTCTTTCTTTCTTTCTATTTCTCCTTTTTTTCTTTTTTTTTTTTACATTGTCGAACGATACACGGTGTACCGTTACTGCGAGACGGGTTTACGGGCGCACGGTTGTCGATTACAATTATTCGAATAACGTTACGCTATTATGTATATTCATTTATTCCAAAAGCGCGTCACTACGTCGTGTAAGATCGTGTCTGTGTAAGTTTTTTTTTTTTTCTTTGCAAATGTGTAAGTATCTAGCTGATGATGATCGCGAAATTTGTATACTCCCCTGCCACCCCCGTCTCCGTTCCGTTGTTTCTTTTTTTTTTTTGGCGAGGAAATTTCGAGAGTTCACGAACGATTGAGAGACAATTTTCGAAACGGAAGTGTTTTTCATCCTGCGTCCTTTCTCAGAAGCCGAATGGTCTTTTAGCGTTTTCTTTTTTTTACAAAAATGTCGATGGACAGAGGTCGACTCCGGTTGCCGACGCGACGTCGAAACAGAGAACGAGGAACAGAGAAACAGAGGGGCGAAAAGAATGAGAACCGCGCGACGCTCGCGCGAACCGTATTGCGGAAAATTTGTTCAAGCCGAGCGAATATTGTAAACTACGCATACGTTTGCACATTGTTCAACATCCTTGTCCACCTTGGTCGCGATCATTTATTTAATCGTTCCACGATCATCCTCACCGTCGAATCGTTATCGATCACGACCGGAGCGTGGACGTGAGTGTGTTCGTTCGTTCGTTCTTTCGTTCGTCTCCGTCGCTAGTTTTTTCTCGTATTCAAGTTCGGAAACTCTCTCGTCCATTTGTACGACACCACTGTACGATGACCGATCGGGGGGAAAAAAAAAACAATGAACAATCGTCACCCACGAACCTCGACCGGAGCGAGTCAACGTATCGATCCTTCGCACTTACGTAAATATTCTCGTAAACTTTGTTTTTTTTTTTTATCCTCGTTCGTCAGCGAGTTGGCGGGTTCGCTGATTTAAAATCATGTAAAAAATCCAATATACGCGGACAGACGTTTTGTGTTTGTTAAATTGTCGTGGTTAGACGATAGATGATCGCCGATCTTCTCCGTGAACGTGACAATATTTCGATCGTTGTCCCACCGTGGTTCTTCGTTGATCACGACGTTTCGTGACGTGAAACGCGCGAATCGCCGAAGGTTCGCACGAAGCCCGTGGAATCCGGCGCGTCGACGATGACCGGCGACCCTCGAGCCCCGCGACCTCATCTTGCGAATGAGGGGGGGGAAGTCGAAGACTCGAAGGTCGCGTAGTTTTCACACGCGACGCGATGTCCTCGCCCGACGACGTTCGCTCGGGTATTCCTCTCGAACGAAACCGGTGCTGCTTACACGGTCTCTGTACTTCTCACTGGGCAGAGCGCAGAAAAAAAGCAGTTCCCAATTGCTCCTCGCGCGCGCGTGTCCCTTCTCGAATCGATCATAGCGTGAATTAAAGGCAACTCGTTGCAAAAATGTATTTATACAACTATAAGGCTGTCGATGGAGAAAGTGGAGGTCCGTGAGAGGCCGCTGCTCCTCCTCGCGAGCATGTATCTCGTCGCGAGACGATCCTTGGTGCGTCGCACTTAATCGTCGTCGTCGTCGTTTGCTCTGATACACGATTCTCTACTACGGCTGGTCGATGCCTGCGAACGGAGCAATCATCGGTCAGACTGCTACCGGTCGAACGGCTACGGTAGCCCCGGTTGCGGTGGTGGCTAGGTATCGGTCGCCGATCAGACGTCCGCGGTTCTCGAGGTGACGCTCGGCGATCGGCTGTGGATCACGACCTTGTGACCGTTCTTCGTTACGAAACCGTCGCTCTCGACGAGGACCGCGGTCTGCCTGACCCGCGGATCCGTGTCGACGTCGCTCTCCTCGCTGGGCCCGCCCTGCCGCTGCTGTTTGTGCTTCCGCCACGCGTTCTGTATGAGACGCGCGCAGTACTCCTCGCGTTGACGCCAGAGCGTCGACGAGACCGGCTCGTAGCCGACCTCGTCCGGTCGCGTTTGCACCTCGATGTCACCGGTCTCCTCGATCGGGTTGCCCTTCCGCGCGAAGAAGTCCTTGGTCAGTGCGTCGAGGATGTCCACGCAGAACATCATGTCACCTTTGCATATCGGTATGTCCATTGAGACGATCTTGTACTTATTCGGCTTGTGAATTTGTAACGGCGGCTCGAGCACGTCCAAGAAATCGGACAACTGGTCGTATCTGATGTACTGCGTCCCGTCCGGATCGAACTGTTGCCAGATCTCGTAGTACATGTCGTAGTCGTCGTCTGTCAGGCCCTCCTGCACGTCCTCTGTAGCCTGGGAGTAGTTCTCTAGGATGACGGCGATGTACATGTTTATCACGATCAGGAAGCTGATCACCAGATACGAGAGCAGATAGGCGATGCCGATCGTGGACGAGCCACAGTTACCCGGGTATCCGATTTCATTGTTCGGCTCTTGGCAGTCCTCTTCGTTAATTATGCCGTCAAGCACGCCGTCCCAACCAGCGGACGTCGACATCTGTGCAATCGTATCAATGAAAACGATTAAGGATGTGTTCGCTGTACGGTCAATCCTAAAAGTTTATGTGCTTTAGAAACGCATTTTTTAAAAAGAAATCAGACGTCGGAAGAACAATGCTAATAATAAATAGCTACGTGCTAAAAAGTATAGAAGGAAATATCT